CAACCTGCCCCTTTGTCTCCTTGCCGAGGAGGAAACTAAAGGCCGGAGGGAGGTTTCTGGCCACGTTCACACTGCAATGTGGTGACGAAGGGAAGAAAAGAAAGCAGGTTCGGACCAGGGCTGCCTGTCCCTGCAAGGGAGAAGCGACAGTCTTTCTCTTTTGCAGGGCGGGAAACTGAGGCACACGGCGTGATGGCTGCTGCTTTTCAGACACCGTGTGTGGCCACGTCCAACATGCCCCCAGCCCACAACGGTCTCCTGCCCACACAGCGTGACCGCCCCCCGACAGGGACGCTGAAGGGGGCAGCTCATGGCAGGGGCCGCCTGGGGATGAGCCACGACTGGGGCGCAGGCCCCTCTGCCCCAGGGAAGGCAGAGGCCGCCGTGGATGGGCCGGGAGAGTTAGGAACAAACCCCCTTTGCTCCACGGAATTGTTTGCCTCAGCAGCCTCAGGGGGCCCGTGGGGTGTTCTTTGAATCCACCCTTTCTACGGGGAGTCCTGGGGAAATTCACCCAAGCAAGGAACGCCAAAGAAATTTTTAAAGCTACATCCATAAAGCTTCTCTTGCAGGGTTAGCGATGATACAAAAAATTAGAAACCAGCCCAAATGCCCAACGATAAGGAAATGGTAGAGAAACACGATGCGTGAATTATGAAAGTTTGCAGAGCAGTTAAGAGCGATCGCGGAGGCTCAGCATGCAAAAAAAGTCATAATATAGTTTTTTAAAAGCACATGAAACCGTTTTCATAAGAGCAACCATATAAAGATACGTATCCAGTTGTTTAAAAAAATATTGGAATGGAACACAAAGAAGTGAAAGTAAAAAGTTACTAGGCTAGCTTGGTGAGATGATGGCTTTTTAAAATTTTGTAACTTCCTCTAATGATTTTATGGTGTTATTATTAAAATACCTCAGATCGAGACAGAAAAAAAAAAGAAGGTGATAGCTGTTTGGAACATTTATTTAGGAATCCAGACCAAACTGAATATTATGAGTTTTCCCCCCATATTTTGAAGCAATTCAGCAACTCAATAAACCTAAATAATGTGATTTATGCTATAATCCACAAACTCTTATTTTTCTCCTTGGTTCCTTTCATCCATGTTTTAGTTCATTAGTTAATGATCTTAAATGGTAGCAGCCTTCTTAATTTTCTGCTGTGCCCTTGTGTTAGAGCCATGTCAGAAAAATGAGCGCCTTTCTTCGTTTGTTTATTTTCAAGATATATTAATTGAATCACATGAAATTGCAATTTTCATAGGTCCAAAATAAATGAAGGCAAGAAATTTCACATGATCCACCCAGGAAATTTTAGCAACGGTAGGATTTTACCACAAGCCATCCTTATAATCATGCCGAATCATTCTACTCACACAGACTTCTCTGTCTCGTCCACCTGCACATAAAAATATTTTGCTTATCACTATGTTCTCTAGAGAAAAGGTCCAAGCAATGCCACTCCACTCGGCCCTCCCAAGGAAACCATTATAGAGTTAATTTAATCACACAAAAACATCCAGATTTCCCCCATTCGTGCCTCAGATATTTATGGGCACCCACCCCGCTCGGGGCGCAGGGCGGAGGGCTGGGCGCGCCGAGCTGCGCGCAGAGGCGCCTTCTCCCTCGGGGAGCCTGCCCTCAGGCCTGGGGGCCGGCAGGAATGGCTGAGTACGAGCCGCGACGCAGGTGACCATTCTGTTTCCACTAACAGGTCAAGTGACCGGTTGGATTATTTTTCCAGCCAAACGGACTGAATGTTTGCTCAGATGGATTAAGGCTGCCATCCCGTGTGTGTGGATAAGAACCAGCCTTGGCCCGCGCGGAGATGGGGGGCCCTGATGTTTATCTGATCCATCAGCTGGGCCACAGGCACGGAGACCCAGGAGAGCCCGGACGCCCACAGGGCGTGTTCGGCCCCAGCTCACGCCAGCGGCTCCCCCAGAGCCGAATCTTCCAACCGAAACACGGGACGCCGCGCCTGGAGACCCTGGACAGCCAAAGGGAGCATCCAATAAAAAAGTGCTCTCTCTTTTTTAAAGACAAAGGCAAAAACGAAAAGGATGTGGCAGTAAATACATCAGCGTTCACTCAACAAGAGCCCCGCAGGACGCTTCTGGGGGGCGTTTCGAGGCCCCGGCCGCGGTCCGCAGGCCAGCTCATCGGAGAAGTGAGCTGAAGCAGAGAGCTAAGCCCTCGCCTCCGTGAACAGAGCCAGGGGACGCGAGGGAGAGGTACACCATTGGTGAAAATGCCACCGACAGAAAGCTTGTCCTGGCATCGCTTAAAAGCACCCCTCCCGCCCAGCTCTGAGTTCCAGAGGTTTGCACCCCAAACTCCAGGCGTGGTGCGTGCACACCAGCTGTGGCTTCAAAGTCCGGGTGGCCAGGCGGGCTGGTCTCTCCTGTCCATCCCCTAACCGCCTGCTCGTAGTGGATATTGGTCAGGCGTGTCTTCCCTTTGGGAGAGCGTCCCCTACAGAGTAAGTGCCTTAAAAAACAAAACTGGGAGGGCGGCCTCACTGGGACCGGCCGAAGCTGCGGCCCCGGCTCTCGGCTGGGCCTGCACGGAGCCCGCCAGGGTCCCCTGCGTGGCGGGCGCACTCAGGATCCAGGGAAGGGGATGGAGAGAGCACCTGGGTGGCCTCACGGCACGATCGAGGGCAGCTGAGCCATCCCGACCGCGGGCTTCCGCTTCCTGTTCCCTGAGCACAAGGAAATGGGCCCAGAGGTGCTGCTTGTGATAATTAGTGCAGCGTCCACCGACTGGCTGTCTAGTGTGTACCGGGCACGTCACGGTCCCTTCTCATTCCACGCCGCCACGGCAAACGCTGTCCTTCCTCTAGAGGTGGGGAAACTGAGGCCCTGAGAGGCGCAGGGGCTTGCGGGAGGCGGTGCAGCCGGGGCAGCGGCCGTGCTGTCATTGGCCTGACTCTCCCCCAAACCACATCCAGCTGCCTCCCCAAAGCGGAGCCGGCCACGACCCCGGGGCCCACGTCCCCTGGGGCCCTGTGTCACAGCTATGCGTCTGCACCTGGCCGCTGTGAGGCGGGGAGCGAGAGGCTCGAGGAGCTGAGGGCTCTCAGGCAAAGGTCTGCAGCTGGCACATCCTCCCGGTCGCCGCCAGCCCCTCGGACCTCGGGGATGGTGACCGCCTGGCGGCCCTTCGTCCAGGGAGGCCTCGCACAGACACACCCAGTTGCTCTCTGCCTGGACCCTAAGGATCCGGGCATTTCCAAGCGAAGGCAAATGGAAACACCTCAGTGAAAGTCAATGTTTTAAAGGGTTTGGGGGCACGTAGCTTCACCGAGCAAGAAAAGAGAGAGAACCTGATGTCTGGTTCCGCCAGCAGCCTGCCCCCCGGGGACAATGGCAGAGGGTGTCGGGGCAGCACGCGGCGCTCGGGGCCCTGGGTGTCAGGGTCGCGTCCCCTCACCGCGGCGGGGCGAGGACGCAGAAAACCTCGCGTCCCGGGGCCGTGTCCGCAAGGAGCTGAACTCTCCCCGTGGGCACCGGGCAAACGCGCAGAGAGACCAGGCAGGGGCTCCAGGCTGCTCCCCGTGCCGCCTGCGGGGCGGGTTTTATTTTCCGCGCTTGGAGGCCACCAGCACCCGAGTAGCTGTTCTCTGTCCCTTCCAAGCCCGCTCGGCCTGACTTTGCCCCCCGTGGACCCGTGAGGAGAGGCCACGCGGTAACTTGGCTCCCGAGGGCTACCTCCCACGCCGGAGGCCCAGGGCCCGTGCCCACTGCCGTCCGCGGAGCACCGACCCCCCAGGCCGCTGGGCGCCGTGGGCCCCTGGCCCCTGCACGCCAGGACGGGCTGCTCTGGGCCGGCTCTGGCTCCTCGCCCCGCAGCACCATGTGAATCCTCCCCACCAGGCCGTTCTCAGAACGGAGACGTGATGTCACAGAAAACCCGCCATCAGCGAGACCTGGAAACCCCAGGTGCTGGGCCAGGCCGGCGCCATGTCCCCAGCACGGAGCAGAAGTGCCGATGGCCTCCTGCCTCCCACCGCGGTCGCTGGACACCGTCCCACAGTGAGGCGAGGGAGGATGTTGCGGCTGGCCCTCCCTGCGTCTTTAGATCCTAACACAGATCATTCTGTTCTTTGTAAAAATGCATGGGGCCAGCCCCCAAGAAGAGCACCCCCCATCTTCTCCTCATCATGGGGGGTTGAAAAGACCCTGGAACAGCTTCGTGCCGTGAACTGGAGTGCGGTGAGGAGCGAGTGCTCTTGTTGGCTGGTTTGTCATTCATGGTGGTAACTTAACAAGTCATATCCTCTCCTCTGTCCCCTGTGTTCCGACATCATGGCTGGCTTGTGGCCTCAGAGGAGGAGCTGCCTGCACGAAGGTGGGCAGCCCCGGGCCCGGGACGGATGTGTCATGGGGCAGCGCTGGCCGTGGGGTGCAGAGCTGAACCTCGACCTGGCACCGCCGCCGCCCCGCGGAAGGCCACATCCCTGCTTTGTTAACCTGCTTAGTCCCTGGACATCGCGGTGTTTCAAGGGCCACAGCCATGATCCTGCCTGGCTGACAAGTGACATGTCCTCTGTTGACGAAGGAAGGAGGAAAGGGACCAAGCGACGGGGCCAGCGAGGGGGAACAAGGAGACGCGGCGACTCGAGCAACATCGCAGCCCGAAGCCCGGCCGGGCTGACACTTTCGGATCCTGCCCAGCTTCCGTCCAGCACGGGGCCTGCCTCAGGTGCCCACCTGCGTCCTCCCCTCGTCCTTCCCCTGCCCTCTGATCGCTGGACGTGTCCCTACTTCGAGCGGGTGTGTTTGAAGCCACTGCCCCCGAGCTGATGCCCCGCTTGCTGAGAACACGCGGGCGGCAGCTTGGAGCTGGCCCCTGCCCTGCTCGCTGCCCGCTGAGTTGAGAAGGACAGCGTTCAGGGGAGACACCAGGTCCTCACCAGCCCCGCCACGGGCCCCCCACAGCCCCGCCACGGGCACAAGAGTTTCTCAAAGCTCCACCGTCGCTGCGGCGGCCTTACCTGTCACGGGGAGCTGAGCCTGCAGGATGGCCGCGATGACAAGCACCTTCCACTTCATGGTGTCCTTTCTCCCAGGAGGACAGCGTGCCGGGACCGAGGCGAGACTGGGAGTGTGAGGCAGCTGAGCTCTGCGCGGCCTCCCCAGGAAGTGGGGGACGGGGGCCTTTGAAAGGCAAGAGCCTGCCAGCGGGCCCGGGACTTCACACCCCCTCTCGGGTCAGAGGCAGGAAGCTCTGGAGGTTTGAGGGTTTGGGGTGTGTGTCAGCCTGCCTGCCTGCCTGCCTGAATTTTGCTTTTTCTCTCCTTTAACCATTGTCTCATGTTCCTTTGCCCGCCCCTAATTTGGGTCGCGTTTTTACCTAATGCCTGCCGTGACTGGTGACATCGGCACACACGAGCCGCTGGCATGTGTCCGGGCGCTTGCTGTGTTCCCCGACGCGGTGTTGGCTGGGGCTCAGGCTAAACGCAGAGGCATGTGGCTGGGCTTCCAGGCCGCCTCTGCTACCTGCTCACTGCGTGGCCTTGAGCAGGTCAGGCAGCGCCGCTCGACTTCAGCCTCCTGAGCTACAGAGTGAGAGGGCAGATGAGGCCTGAGCCTGCCGTTCTGCGCTTGACCTGAATGTAAGCCTGAGGGTAGTTCGAAATACGATTTCAAGCGCTCGTGTTAGTGGTCAGCATTTAAACACTGGAGTCATTTACAATAGTAAAAATGATTAAATACCTAGAAATAAACTTAATGAGAAGTTTAAAATCTACCTAAAACAAACTTTAAAACATTCCTGAACTACATGGGAAACATTTCTGAATAATGGAAGACACAGCCTGGTCTTTGATAAAAAGTTCCCTCCTAACGAGACCACAACTCTCCCTAAATTAATCAACCCATCCCTCTAAAAATACCGGCAACAGCTTTAGAACAAGCCTACGTGATTCCGAAATTTCATATTTTTCATATTTCATAAAAATATGAAAAAAATTTCATATTTTTGTAACATGAAAAAAATTAATGTCTAATAATAGCCAGGACAGCAATCAAAAAAAAAATAGGTAAACTGGACTTGATCAAAATTTTTAAAACGTTTGTATATAAAGGATACCTATCAAGAAACTGAAAAAACAATCTATAGATGGGAAAAAATATTTGCAAATCACGCGCTGACAAGGATGTATATTCAAAATACATAAATAACTCCTACAACTCAACAAGAAAAAAAATAAGCCAATAAAACATCAGCCAGAGACCTGAACTGACATTTCTCCAAAGATGCACAAATAGCCATAAGCACATGAAAAGATGCTTGACATTGTCAGCCATAGGGAAATGCAGACAAAACCTACGGCAAACTGTTACTATGCAAACGTTCACACAGAAGACGGGTGCCAGCGGCCACGGAGGAGACCGGAGCTCGCGCCTGCTGGCGGGCCGGGGAGGCGGTGAAGCCCCTCCACAAGGGGCCAGGCATTTCCTCAGAACCGTAAGCAGAGCCGTCATGGAACCCAGCAACCGCACGCCTGGGCCTACACCCCAGGGGCCTGCAAACGCGTGTCCACGTAAACCTTGTACACGGCTGTTCATGGTGGCATCGTTCACGACAGCCCCAAACTGGAAACAACCCGAACACCCACCGACCAAGGTGGGGGTGGGGGGGGTCCCGCCACACAACAGAATGTGACTCCGCCATAAAAAGGGAAAAGGGGAGTGTTGTTAGGACTTGCAACACGGGTGACCACGGAAGGCCGCGTGTTATCTGACCGCATTTACATGAAGTTGGTGGCGCTGATAGGTATGAAGTCTCTCTGGGGAAGGATGGAATGTTGAGGAGCAGGCGGTGAGGATGGTGCCCGGCGTAGGGAACCCACTAAGATCCGCTTTGAAATGGTGAGTTTTATGCTACGTGAATTATATCTCAATGCAAAAATAAAGTTAAAACCGACCGACAAAAGACAGCCAGGAAAACAGGAACAGGAGAGTGAAGCAGGCCAGGATCACACGTCACCAAGTGGCACCGTCGCCACCTAGAGCGCGTGGTGCTACAGGCTCAGCTGTGCGCCGTCGGCTGGTTTTTGATAAAGGCACAAGGAAAAATTAATGGACCAATGAGAGTCTTTTAAATAAATGGGGCTAGATCGGATATCTGTGTGGAAAAAAACAACAACAAGTATCGACCCTTATTTCATACGCTAACACAAACTTAGTTAAAATGGTTCATAGACCTAGAGGCAAAGCATGAAACTATAAAACTTCTGAAATAAAACAAAGGACAAAAATCCTCATGATATAACATAGGAAGCACAAAACATAAGAGAAACTAATTGATATATTTGACTGTATCAAAATGAAAAATTTTGTGCATTGAAAACACCATTAAGAAAATGAAAAAGCAAGCCATAGACGGAGAGGAATTATTTGCAAACACATATATGCCAGACAGAGGACTTATATCCAGAATATATAAAGAACTCTTTCGACTTAATAACGAGATAAGTAACTCGGTAAGAAAAGGGGTAACGTGTTGGATTAGAAAGTTACCAAGCGCTGGGAAATACATGATCCGTAATCACATGAAAAGTTGCTGAGCACCGTTAGCAATTGAGGACATATGAAGGGCAGCGCAGCACGATGTCCCCCGCCCACCTGCTCGAGTCTCGAAAATGAAACCGCCGGCCGCGCCCGGCGCCGACAGGAACGTGGGGCGCTGTCCTCCAGCGGTGATGGGGGTGGAAAATGAAGGCCGCGCTGGAGAGCAGGGCGCGGTGTCTGGAGAAGTTACCCCCCTCCCGCAGGCTCCAGCCCTGCCGCCCGGAGGCATCTCCCCAAGACAGAAGGAAAGTGCCGTCCCCAGAAAGATTTGCACGGACATTCGCGGCCACTGTATTTGTAACAACCCTGACCTGAAACCACCGAGGTCCTTCATCAGCAGGCGTGAGGATGAACGCGCCGGGGTGTGTCCATGCCATGAACGGAGACCGAATGGCTAACACCAATACGCGGCGAGCAGCTCAGCCGCCGGGTCAGATCTCCGAAGCACTGCACCCTGGGAAGGGGCTGCGCAGAGCGCCTGTTCAAGGACCCCACTTCTGAACTCCCAGCCCCGGGGCGAAGGGCCTCATTCCCTCATCTTTCAAGGGCGTCGAAATATTGTCCAATCACAACAAATATCCCCTGAGCGTCAACCAAGCACTGTGCTCTGCCGAAGATATAGCTGAGAGTGAAACAGACAGAGAAGCCGCGCCCTTGTGCGAAGCACACGCCAGTGGAAGCCCAGACAAACTGGATCCTGGGCCAAGGGCTGGAACAGAACATTTCTGGAAGAGGAAGTAATGAATGGCTTCTCAGTAAATGAAAATTGCTCGGCATCACTCATGCTAACATCAAAATGAACACGTCAATGAATGTACTTTTTCACCTAAATGTTGGATCCACTCCCCACCCTGGATTCCATCCTTTCTTGCCTCCCAAGGACAAGGTTCTAGAAATTTTCCCTGGAGTATCATTATTTTTTCTTTTACATTGGAGAGCTCTTTTCAGCGCGCAAGCATGTTATTTCTCCCAGCGTTAACAATCTCTCGGAGGCACGAGAGGCATTCACACAGTGGCGCTGGCTGCTGCTTTGGGCCCTGGGTGAGCCAGCTCAGCTGAAAGCCAGCAGCAACTTCCAGAAAAGTAAACAAGGCCACCTAGAGGGCGAGGTGCCGGCGCCAACCAAACACAAACACACGTGATGAGATAGAGACGCCGGTACTAAGTGAAGTCTGGTAGTTCTTCAAATGAGTGGATCTGGTGAAATAATCATTTCGACCTACCCCTTTCTGGTCCCTCCTGGGCCCGCAGGTTTGGTGGGCTTCCCGGGCGCGCTTGCCAGCCGTCTGCTCGCTGTCCCTGCGCCATCAGGGGTGTCCAGGGAGCCAGGCGTGCGGGGCCAGGCGCGTAGCGCGCTAGGGTGCCCGTGGGCCAGTCTGGGACCCACAGACAAGGCTCCTCCCCTGTGCCACCAGCAGCTCACGGGCGGGCTCCTGGGCGGAGCCGTGAGTAGGACCCCAGCCCTGCGATGCCCTCGGGGTCCCCGCTGACAGTCCCCGTCTCCGCCGGCCCCCCAGCCATGCAGCTGGCGACTCGGTGCTCGGATGGGAGGAGGGAGGCAAGCCTCTTCAGCTGCATCCGCAGCTGGAGACCGGGGCTCACCTGGCCTTGCTCTCCCCGCGGGAGAGGCCGCGCGTGGGGCCGGGCAGGCGCTCCGGCCGCAGCTGTGTGCGTGTCGCGGGCCAGGGCGCTGCAGGAAACTCAAGCTGTTCCTCTCCCCTAAAAGCTCTGACCTTTGTCGCAGTGGAACGGTGGAGCTTCACCCACCCCCTCTCACCGCCTCCCCGAGCCCCCGCTTTCCCCGCATGCCGCCTGGCACCTGGGCATGAACGAGAGGGTTGTCCAGAGGCTCCCAGGCCGCGGCTGAGAGGGACTGGAACTGGGCCTGGCCCCGGCGGGTCCACAGCGGCCTGAGGTCTGCTGCCCATCGCCCCGCCAGCTGGTGACCAGACTCGGCCCACCCGGCCCCAGGGGTCCCGCAGAGGCACTTTGTCCCCGGACGGATGCCAAGTTGTCATTGCTGAGGGTGGGCCAGGAACAAGGGACACCTTCCTGAGCCGTGTTGCTGATGTCACCGCTTCAGTCGTGTTGGTGCTTCTGCCTGGATGAGGCCGTCGGCCCGTCCGCGGCTCTGTCCCCGGAACTGAAATCCTGGGAGAGCGACGCAAGGCCAGAAGCACTCCGCTCCCTGCCTCCCGCCTGGAGCTGCCCCCGGAGCTGCACATGGTCTGGAGCCCTGTGGACACCGTTCCAGAAACTTCCTTTCTGCTGTCTCCCCTACACACTTCGAGTAGGAGGGGCCAGACCTCTCTTCCGAGGCCCGTGTGTTGTCAGCAGCTCTCAGGCGGCCACTGGATTCTCGGACACAGAGACATATTCAGGGACCGGGTCTGCCGCGCAATCTGTGAACTCCCCCCATCTGGGGACCATCTGGAACCCCAACCTCCTCCCTGGAGTAAGGAGAGTAATGTATGAACATACTTTATAAAATTAAGTCCTACAACAATTACAACTTTAAAAAAAATTTATTGGTTGATTTTAGAGAGACGGGGAGGTGGGGTGAAGAGAAACACCGATCTGTTGTTCCGCTTATTCATTCACTCATTGGTGGATTCTTGTTTGTGCCCTGATGGGGGATCAAACCCAGAAACTTGGCGTATCAGGATGACGCTTTAACGGGCTGAGCTCCCCAGCCAGGGCTATAATTTTTACTTTTGAGAAAACTCAACCTGCAGATTACCAATTAATATTTGAAGCAAAAGGAAGAAAAGCAGCCAGTATTTATTGGGTTTTTAGATGTGCAAAGTTACCAGTAACCTGAAGTCTATTCCATTCTTTCCTATCAAAGCTGGGGCACTGGTGAGCACGTGCCGCCCACTCCCTGGGCTGTGACAGAAGCTCTGCAGCGCAGTTTGGAACGTGTGCCAACAGTTTTTCCTGCTGCTGGGAGTCCCTCTGAGGAAATAAACACAGATGCAGGCTATACGGGGTTGGCCAAAAAGTTCGCTCGGTTTTTTATGTGTAAGATGGTTCTCATAGCACTTTCGTTGTCTTTAACTCCATTTGAAACAAATTCGTTAGGTTGTATTGTGACAGCTGCCATCAGCATGCATTTTTTTTTTTTTAAGATTTTATTTATTTTTAGAGAGAAGGGAAAGGAAGGAGAAAGAGGAGAAACATCAATGTGTGGTTGCCTCTTGTGCGCCCCCTTCCGGGGACCTGGCCCGCAACCCAGGCATGTGCCCTGTCTGGGAATCGAATTGGTGACCCTTTGATTCACAGGCAGGCGCTCAATCCACTGAGCCACACCAGCCAGGGCATATCGGTGTGCATTTTTAAAAAAACTAATCAAAATTGGTGAATTTTTGTGCAGCCATTTTAATAGTGAAGATAGAAGAAAATAAGCAATATTTTTCAGTGTATTATGCTTTATTATTTCAAGAAAGGTAAAAACGCAACTAAAATGCAAACAAAGATTCATGCAGTATATGGAGAAAGTGCTGTGACTGATCGAATGTGTCAAAAGTTTGCATAGTTTCTTTGTACTGTTGACATTCTGGCCAAATAATTCTTTGCTGTGGGGTCATCTTATGCGCTGGAAGATGTTCAACAGCACCCTGGCCTCGACCCACGAGAAGCCAATAACGGGCAGAGCCGACACACTAAAAATATTCAGATCAATAAAGATATTGGTGAAAATGAAAAGTGTGTCTTTTATTTCATGGGCTTCTGGCCAACCCAATGTTTTATGTATAAAAAGGCCCGTCTCTTACAACAGGGAAAACTTGGAAGTGACTTACATGTTAAAACACCGGATAGAGTGTGGCAGCGGCACTTAGCTGGGCGGGCCTGTGTCCCTCCCGTTAGCAGAGTCTCTCCAGGGTCCCCGCTCCCCCGTCCCGTGGTTCTGACGGGCTGAGCCGAGCCCCCAGCTGCGAACGCACCGAGCCGGACCCCGGCAGGGCCCGGGAGAGCCCCCACACCCTGAGGGAGTCACTGCTCATGCGGGGCCCCGGCCGGAAGCTGCCTCCTCTTTGCGGCAATCACAGCCCAGCCAGCAGAAAGACGAGTCTCGAAGGATTATCTTAAGGTCCATGAGTTCTTGTTGCTTAAACCGCTTCGACTAGCCTTTCTGTCCCCAGCAACAGGGTGCTGAGACGGGGCGCCGTCTGGTAGCCGGAGAAGACGGATGGGATGAAGTACTCTACAGCCCCCCTCGGCCGCCCTTACAGCTTCCGGCAACGCACGCTTGTGGCACAGCGAAAGCAGCGTGATGCACACTCAATGTCCAGCCCGGGCTTATGACGTAACGTTATGATATTTAAACATTTCTCAGAAGCAAAGATGGGAAGGAAACCCATGAAAACGTCAGCAGCCAAACCGGCTGGTGAGATTACACATTTTTGAACTCTCTTTATTTTCCATATTTTCCATACATCTTGTGAGAAATACTAAGGAAAAACTAAGAAAAAGATGCTGTTCTGTTGGATGGTTTATACCTCCCTTAATTCCCCAAAGGACTTAAGTTAGAATTGTCTTCGCAGATGAAATGCGGTTCTGAAACGACAGTTCGGAATTTCCCTAAAAAGTGTTCACCTACCAGCTTGACACAAAGACAAATGTTTCCTTAGAGCAGTAAAACTGAAAGTGTGCCCAGCCATCGGAAAGCAAAGCCTCCTCCTCGATCGCTCTGTGTCTTCAGTCTGAGTATTACTAAGAAGGGAAACGCGGCGTGAGCAGCGTCGAGTCGGGGTGTTTGCGCCTTGATTTTGCTGAGCCCGGCCCCCTTTCTGAAAGCGTTCTCTTCACCCCGCCAAGGACCTGCACAGGCTGTGACCCTGGACTGGAAGGCAGAGCAGACCATGATCATTGGCTGTGGTCTGGTCAGGATGGTGGCCTTGACCAGGGGCACAGATCCAAGGCCAAGCCAGGTCCCACCAGTGCGCCGGCGGGGCTCTGGAACCCCCGGCTTCTCCGTCACGCCCTCTTTCTGTTTTCAGTTTCTCTTTGCTTGAGGAGAGCCCGCCTTGCCCTCTGGGCCAAACCCGGTCCCCCTCCAAGACACTCACATCCTCGCAGGTGACAGCCAGGGCTCTGTCCCTCTTCTGGAGGAGGTGGGGTGCAGGGGGGTTGAAGTGTGTGACCTGGAGGGAGTGAGCCACGAGACCAGGCCTCTGTGTCTCCTCCTGTCCCCCGAGGAGCTGCCTTTGGCCCAGGGCCCGATCAGCTCCGCTGGAAAAGGAACCCACACCTGCCCCAGAAGTGGTCTGCAGCGCCCTCTGGTGGTCGATCGGAACAGAACAGGAACGTATTCTGCCCGTTCAATCTGGACCGCCCACTGTGACGCAGGGGTTGACTTCCTTCTGTGAAAACTGGATTGACCTAAATGTAACCGGGTCGGGGGCGGGGGGAGGAGGATTGAATGTGGAAGGTGGGGGGTGGGTAGGGCACGGGAGAGTAATGGGGGAAAACGGGGACAACTGTAATTGAACAAAAAAATTGTTTAATTTACGGAATTAAAACATAAATGTTTAAAAAAATTTTTTTAATCCTCACTGAGCTTTTATGTTTATTGATTTTAGAGAGGGAGGAAGGAAGAGAAAGACACATCGATCGGTTGCCCTCTGAAGGCACCCCAACTGGGGGATCAAAGGCGTAACTCTTTGGTGTTGGGGACAACCTTCCAACCCACTGAGCCACGGGGCAGGGCCGAGCCATGGGCCAGGGCCATGCCCCGGTTTTAGGGTGTGACGAGCCGCTCGCCGAGGGAAGGTGTCGAGCGACTCCCGTGACGCTCTGGAACAGCCGGCACCGGACCCCGCCGCAAGCTCCATGGAGTGAAGACACGAAGGTCTCCGCAGCAGCCGGGGAATGAGAGAGTGAAAACGAGCATTTGTGTTTAAGAAAACGAATCCAACTCACATCATTAAAATAATGCTTTTAATTAGTGATGCTTTGAATAGGAAACCTATTTTAGTAAGTTGAATGCAGATCATTTTTCTTAACTGGAGCCGTTTGCTGGATTTTGGGTACATTCCTTTTGCTGTTTTCAAACGTAACGACGCATCTCAAGTCCTTTCCTGAGACAGACAAGGGTTCAGAGGCTTGATTCCGACACACCTCTTTATGAGGAATCTCATCTCGTCTTCCGAAACCATGTGTATAGGTGATAAAACTATACGTTTAAATTTATAAAATTTAGCAACCTCATCTTCCAAGAAACCCAGAAACAGTCCAACTTGATTCTGTAAACAAGCAAGCCCACCAGTCCACGTGGGAAAGCAAACAGGCGGCTCTTCCAGAACTCGGGCCACGGAGAAACCTGCAGCCCCTCAGGCCTGCACAGAACTCCCTGCAAACTTCACCCGTGTGGTTCGATTCGTCCAGTTCTGCTTCACCTACGTGGGAGGCGGGGGGAGAGAGAGGAAGAGTTATTTCACTAAACCGAGGTGACAGATCTCAAACGCGAATTCACTCTGGGGAAGGACTAGAGAAACTTTGATCTAGCGGCTTTGGCTTCCGAGTTAGTTTCGGCCCCTTCCGTGACCGGAAGCAGCACCACCTGCGGTTCCCGAGGTCTGCGGCCAACGTGCCTAGAAACCGCGGCTGCCGCCGGCATCCCTCCGGTCCGAGGATGGCGCCCTCCCGCCGGTGAGCGCCCACTACTCCGGCGGCGTGGCGCTCCCCCTGGAGGCTACCTGAAGGTCTAAAAGACAAAACGGCTGAGGAGAGAAGCAACCCCGAACGTCCGGGCAAAGAGCCTTCATCAGCCAGTGCCCGGTGATGCTGAATCTGAGCAGGGGAAGGACCCCTTGACCCACTTTCCTGCTGCAGCCTTGACCGCGGCTATCAGAAAACTCCATCTCCAGGTACGGAGACCGCGCGAGCTTGTAATCCGTGGCCTCTCCTTACAACGCTCTGTGCGCACCGAACGCACCGAAACCTCGTTCCGTTCGCAGCTGCGCTCCTGGCCTCCGGGCCCCGCAGTCCCTTCGGCCCCTCCTTGCTACTTGCCCTCCCCCAGGGCGTTGCTGCTGGAGCTTCCGCAAGAGGCGCCTCTGAGTGCAGCCGAACACCTGAGAGGGCCTGCCGGTGTTTAGAGAAAGAACATCCTCCGAATCTGATCCGGGCGAGCCCCCCAAGGTGGCTGCCGTCTGGAGAAGCCAGGGAGGCCCCTGGGAGGGTCCCCCGACGATGCACAGGCCGTCGGCCCTTACAGACATCACCGTCCCCTGCCTGGACTACTAGACGGAGCTGGTGGCGATCCAGGTGGGTGGGATGGTGGCGGGGCCACTCCCGGACTCTGCGTTGGGCCCTAATCATCAGGCCTGCTCAGGAAGGCCGGCTCTGAGGCCCGGCCCATCCCCAGGACCGGCCACGCCCTGGCGTAGCCTGCGGTCCCCCTGTCAAAAGGACTCGGAGAAAGTGCTCCGTCTTATCTCTGAGCTGCAGAAAAGACTGCTTGTCAGTGCAACGATGTGGGACCCGAAGTTTATTTTACTCACTTACTCAGCTTGGACACTTAAAACACATTTTTATCTTGTTATGACAGCAAGTGCTGCCCTTGGGCGTGTTATTTATGCAAAGATAAGAGCACTTCAGAGGTTGCTACGTCCTGTAAAAGTTGACTGTAACCCTGAATAGCGTAACCTTGTCATCGTCCTGGCCGTCCTCCTTGGTAATTTGTTGCTGGCGGTCACGTTGTAATTGCCACCTCTGAGTCCCCATAAAACAAGGTGGCTGTGCCAGCCCAAAGGACGACCGCTGGCCTGTGGCCCTTCTCCGCATGCACCTGCAGTTTTTCTTCAAATAGGAGGCGGAGAAACTTCATCTCACATTATCCAGCTGGCGAGCCGCCAGTGTTTACAAAACACCTGCTCTGGGCCCTGCATTGTCTTAGACCATGTTTAGGATTTTTTTAAAAAAAATTAGCACAAAAGCTGGGCTTGGCCATGAAGACATTTACCATGGTGGTGGGAAGTCGGCCGTTCAGCGTGGAGCTGGGCAGGGAAGCGCCGACGCTGGGGGCCCAAACGTGAGCTTCCGCCTCCAAGTCCAGCGTGGCGCCCGCCCTGCCCCGCTGCCAACAGCAGTCATGGCTGCAAGGGGTCTGTGCGTCATGAGCGACTCTAGGACGGGGCCGGGCCGGCCACGGGACAGGAACTGTGGTGGGGAGGGGCGGCCTGGCGCGGCGCAGCGGCGCGGCGGGGCGCCCGGGGCTGGCTCTGGGGCCGGGAGCCCAGCGGGCTGCTGACCGGCTGCGCCCCGTCTCACAGACGAGGGACAGTGCTGCTGGGTGCGGGCGGCGCGCCGCCCGGAGAGGCCGAGGGGCCGATCCCTGCAAAGTCGCCCCCACGGCGCCCGGCTCGCAAGCGAAGCTCAGCACGTACGAGCTGCGCGGCCGTTCTCGTTGCTGTGACTGTCATCGCCGTCCGTGAGGCTGTGAGGGTGTCAGACGTGCCGGAATTCGTTCCCTGTGCCGCCTGGGAAGAGCATCAGTGCCTGTGTCCCTTCGTTTGACCCCGGACTTAATTGCAAAGCACCTGCCCACACCTCCCTTCCTGCCCTCACAGGAATGTCGTCTTCAGGCCCCTGTGGCCTCGGCCTGCGCCCCTCCGGTGTCCACTTTCTGAGGGGACAAACCGCTCGGCCCCACAGCTGCTCCCAGGACTGGGGGCTGCTGGGCACGGGGTCACATGCTCCGGCTCGCGGGCGGGTCATTCAGTCCTGAGGCGCCCAAGTCTGATTCCTGTGAGAGTCACGGGGCAGAACCGGGCTCCACGCGGAGCCCCACCGCACGGGGCCTCCACACAGGGTCCCAGCCTGTGTTGAGGCAGTAGGTGGGATTCAGGGGGTCTACGAGCTTGGATGGGAAAAACGTTCTCACGGGCACTGAGCTCTCACTGAAATGTATCATGTCCTTCAGTGTATGGAGGCAAGAAGCCCGCTGGGGACGGCATATCTGTGACTGTCGCCAGCAGAAGCACAGATATCAGACGCTGCCGAATCACGTGAGAGCTGGCAAGAGGTGTCTTGAAATATCGTTTGCAGTTCTCACTACTCTGAGAGATCTTCTGTAATGTGTTCCTTAAAGAGCCAACATAGTACCACACCGCGGCTAGAAGACATATTTTTATGAATGTATTCCAACACAGCGGTCGCCTTTGCGATCCCACGTGTTTTAGGCATTTAAACAATACTGTCGTTAGGGTGGACGCAGGGTTCCTGATATGTGACACGGCCACCAGCCCCCACCCTAAGGACCGATGATAAAGGCTGCAAAATAAGGTGAACGATGGAAAAAAATAGATACTTACTGGAACGTGACGTTATAATACTCCTCGGGCGTCACTATTTTGGGTCCGCCGAAGTAGTCCACGAGCCAAATGTTGGTTATGTTCAACTTGGCAAAGAACCAGTTGTGGCTGGAAGGCCAGGACTTCATCTCAGGGTGGCGGGTGAACAGGGACTGCTCCGCCACGTCCCTTTCTGTCTCGTTCACCTAAAGGACACGCGTGATATGAGTGTTCTCATGGCGGGACTCTGTTATCTCACCTGTTAGCAATGTGAGATGCCGGCGTTCTACACATCCGGCAGTGTCTACTGAGCTACAGAGCCTGATTTTTTAACTTTCATTTTTTAACCATTGATATATAATCAGAACATTGTATTTGTTTTCATTGTGCAACATGACCTGAAATATGTCCTGGGGTGGGCGAACCCAGGGTAGGTTTACAGTTGTTTGTACAGAGAGCAACACAACAATTAATACATAATAGGTAATTAATAAATAATAATAATACATGAACAAACTCTGTTTCATGCACTCACAGCAGCAAACCTACATTCGCTCGCCCCTGTATAAATTGTGGAATGGTCACATTTGTTTGGTTGACATCCGACACCATACATGCTTCCAAGAAATGGTTTCCTTTTGGGGGGGGGGCTGTTATTTTTGTGTTGAGAACTTTTAAGATCTACTATAAATCCCGATTGTACACTTAAGGAATCAAGAGGAAGTAAAGGCAGCTGGGACAAACACAGACGACAGTCTCAGATGCTGGCGAGAACAGACTGATGTTGGGGACACCATCTGGGGTCCCAGTTTTCACGGCTAAACAGTAAATTTGAGCCATCAGACTAACTGGCACAAGGTTCTAGAACAAAATGCCCCTGGGGTTCGGGACGCGGACCGTCAGCACAGTTATCCCAGGACAAGCACGTGCTGAACCTGAGACGCAAGCACACAAAGGGGAGAGCCTTCCCAAGACACACAGTGGGGTCGGCAGCGTTGACTCTCGCCTTGTTCCAGCCGGAAGGGCCCGCAGATGCAGAGAGGCCAACCCCCAGAACTTCCAGACCGTGAGCAAACCGGTCTGCGGTGCCGTGACTGACGGGCCAAGAAGCCAATCCACCAGCTCGGCTGTGGACTCAGCTCGGCGCTCGGGACACCCTGCCCTGGCCCTGCCCAGGGTTGTTCTGAACCTCCTCCCGGCAGCACACGCCCCAGACTACGGCGGTGCACACGCAGGACTCCCTGTACGAGTGGATTCTCCCCTCCCAACCTGCAGGGGACGCTCTCCGCTCGAAGCCACCGCCACGATATGCAGACGGGACCGCCGACGCGGCAGATGTGGTCCGGGGCACACCGTGGTCAAGGAGTGAGCTTTGGCTGAGCAGGTGTTCCTGACTCAGGGGGCTTTAGAGCTATTAGATCTGTTTGCCCTCAAAAAAATAGTTCATTTTGCTCATGAACGTCTTAAAGAACACCTATATGAAAGCAACGGATGAAAACTTTTACTTGCGTGTGAAATTACATTCCATGTTAGAACATACTCTAACTCTGCATCCCAATCGCCAGTCCGTTTTATTTCGTCCCTACACTGCCTCTTCCTTCATAGTTAACAGGGGGACACTCTCCTACAGCCTGTCCGTGTGTCTGCGGGTCACCACCCACCTTGGTGACAGTCCCGGCCAGGATGATATGAGCGCAGAGGGGACTCTGGGGGTCGTAGCTGTGCTTCCTGCAGAAGTCCGTCTGTGCCAGAGACATGGCCAGCGTGGCGTATGGGTTCTCCTGGAGAGAAAACGAGGACCCTCTCGTGAAACAATGTCTGCGGCGAGGTAGCCAATTTCACAAGTCGCGTACACCCTGTCCCCAGAGCTTGTCTCTTTTTCCATCAAACGATGACTCGTAAAACACCACCTTCCATTCGGGGCAATTACTCTTTGGATCAAGAATGATCTTAACCCTCTTTCCAAAAAGGGGAAGAGGAAATTCATATTGTAAATTAACTAAGTAAGGATTATTTTAACACCTCTTAAACTCTTTACTTGTCCTGTATTCCCCAGGGGAATCATAATGACAGTACCACCCAAGTACAAGGCTGGCCTCTACCTTCGCCGACATTATCTCAAGGGTTAGATATTAACCTGAAACGAGGGCCTAAAACCACCAGTTGCTCAGCTGGCTAATTACCCAGTTTCAGCAAGAAAAAGTGGCTGAGTCACACTGTTTGGTTCTCTTGTGCCAGCCAAAGTGGTCACGGGATTTCAGAGCGGGGGAAGCTGCTCCTCCTTGCGCTAACAATGAAAGAGGAATGCTTAGACTCAGTGAGGCGAGCAAAGTTCCTAGTTCTTTCTTATTTGGAAGCCAGCTTCACCAGAGGCATTACTGCTGACAGATTACAGCAAAATGTGCACGCTGCATTTCAGACTGCTGCGCTCCTTAACCTCCTGGGGTCTCAGGTGGGGGGTTCTGTCAAGTCACAGTGGCCCATCCAAACGGTGAGTCAGAAAGAGGTCTCCTGGAGACCAGGCAGCCAAACACTCGCTGTCAATACCTGATTAGGCACGGCACCCAGGAGAGGCAGAAAAAGAGGGGACTGGGGCAAGGCCTCTCCCGTCTGTGAGTTTATAGTCTGGCTGAAAAGTCGGGGACAAAATTTAAATAATGCAAAACGACGATGCGGAATTCATCAAGAGGCTGCACAGAGCCGACTGCTGAGCAGCCAGTGCGGTGAAGCAGTTTCCAAGTTCAGTGTAAAGCGCTGTCAGCATAGCCTGGAGGGACACGGAAGCACAGGGAGCCCACAGGTCTTCAAAACTAGGGATTTAAGGTCTGGGGACCTGTGACTGCAGAAGACAGAACCGGGGTCCTGTGAGACACGACCGAGAGTAGTGAGAAGCCCAATTTGCTTGAAGGAGGGGCTTTCTGAGGCGGTGGGGGCGTAGTTCATGTCGATCTGGTGGGCAGGGTGAGAAAGCAGAAATTGTAAGCCAACCCTGCCTGGCCAATGGATGGACTCGGTCAGACTAGTTCTGATGTGGCCGCACTTTTTCACCCGATGACGGTGACCTGCCATCCTGGGCAGGGTCTGAGTTGAAGTACATCATGTAAAGCTGTGGTTCTCAACCTCCCCCCATCAGAGGCATGGGGGGGGGAGGTTTGGGGGGAGAGGTTTAGTGAAATGTATTTCCATCAAATGCCTTGGTGTTGCCTTTTTAAAGTCTTCCCAGGTGGTGCCCTGAGGCAGCGGACGGGCCTGCTTTGCACCCAGGGAACCTCCAGGAGCGGAGCCTCGGGGGAGCGGAGCCTCGGGGAGCGGAGCTGGCTGGGAGGGAGAGGGCGGGGAACGGGCAGGGGGCCTCGCGGGCTGAGGAGGCAGCTGCTTCTGTTTCTGCTCAGAGAATGTGGACCCCCCTTAGGCCTTCCGATTTTTTCAAGAAGTTACACATTTAGATTTTTAAGTGAAATCTCAATTTTTAAATGATGGCAACTACCTCAGATGAATAATAACAACAACAGAACTCTGTGTGGGCCTAAGAAAACTGGCTGGTTGACATGTTCGGTTCATGAGCCATCCGTCTGCGTCCTGTGGTTTGAAGGCAGGTGGGCTGGGGTGCCATTCCAGTTTGGCCACTGGCCTCGGGCAAGTTCCTTGCCCTACGTACGCCTTCGGATAAGGAGAGGAAACCCTCCTAAAAGGGCGAGCAAAGGAGACAGCGACTGGAAAGTGATGCCCCACCTGGCACATAGTAGGTGCTTAATCAAATATCACTTTCTCTTTCACCTTATCTTTCTCAGTAAATGTACCTTCCCGGTTAACCTGAGATCCGGGATCTTTGCAAAAAGATGCTCTGCCAAATCGAACTTCAGTCCCAGACCCTGTATGGCTCTGGCCCCCAAGCGCTGTGGCTGAGCCAGCTCTCTTGGCACAGCCGGGAAGCACCAGGGCTGTGAGCCTGGCCCTGCCCCTACAAGGTGGGTAAACGGCGAGGAGGAGATGGATTTACGGTCAGTTCTGCCTCCTGCCAGGGGAGCCAATGTGCACGGGGGCCTAAAGATGGCAATAAATCGCTGCAATCGTCCACGGTGTTGGGTATCCGCTTCTTGGCGCAGAAGGGAAAATGCAGAAGGAGGGGGAAGAGCGAGAAACCCGTAGGCCGCGCATACGAACGCTTAGGCTACGTACGTTCCCAGCGATCGCGACGCCCTGGAAAGCTTTCCCTCTCGGTAGTCAGCTGCCCGCCGCTTGGGACGCTGCAGAGCCCGCCCGCCGGCGCAGCCGCGCAGAGCGCGGGGTGTGCGCACGGTCCGTCCCGGGCCGGTGCAGGCTACTCCGGAAAGGCTGGCCCTGCAGCCCGGGCGCCCCACGCTCACCTGCAGGTTGCCGACCGACAGCTGCAGGGGGCTCAGGTAGAAGTAGGGCACGCCGCTGCCCTTTCCCGGGAGCCCGTCGCTCAGCGACAGCACGTCGGCGAAGGCCTGGCCGCGCACCGCCTCCTGCGTGGAGATGGTGGCCAGCGCGCCCCAGTCGCTGAAGTGTGTCACGAAGCGGGCCACGCGCGCCGCATCCTCGCGGGGCGGCAGAGGCGGTAACGGGGCGTCGGCGTCCCAGTCGCCGTGGCCCCGGCCGCCCCGGCCCCGCGCCGGTGTCACCAGCAGCGCCACCAGCGCCGGCGCCAGCAGGGCGGCGAGCAGAGCGCGCGCGGACCCGCGGACAGGTCTGGCCATGGCGGTCACTCAGGCGACAGTTCCGGCCCCGCGACCTCCGGCGGCCGGGTGTTAGTTAGCCCAGCGCCCGGGTCCCGCCCACCGCGGGGCAGGTCCCTCCCCTTCCGAGAGGGGCCAATCGGAGCCGGGGACGGAGGGGCGGGCTTCTGGTCGCCACGCAACCTGCGGGCTTGGTCTGTCCTTCTTCCAGCAGCCCCACCCGCCCATCTGTAGGGGTTGCGAAATGGTCCTCAGTGGGACGTTGTTTTGTTTGACACATGGAGGAACAGATGCTTGGAGAAATGAAGCAAGTTGCCTAGTCATCCTTCTGGGGAAGGACCAGCCTGCGCGCGCGCAGACGCGGACACAGGCCCGCCTTCCTTGAATACTTTTGGATCTGTCTCTGGCAACGGAGAGGAAATGCTGCCTTTTCTACACAAGTTCCCCTTTTCTATTTGCTTCACTGTCTGCACCAAAGAGCAGCAAGGGTCCCAGGGGTAAGGGACAGAGGCTCTCAAACGTAGGAGGCACACGCTACCCCAGCCCAGAACTCTCTCGGGCAGGGACGCCAAGGAGTGGTTATTCTCTGATATCCCTTCCGAGCGCGGATTTGAACTCACCGAAAACATTTGGGGACCTGTTCAGCCATCAAGCTTGGGGGCCAATGGCTTCATTTATTGTCCTTACCCACTCTCCTCGGCCCATGTAGGTGGCATTTCTGCTGGCTCCTCCCACCAAGGTCCCTTCCCTTCGGCCGTGCCTCCTCATCCTGATACTCTGGGAATAGGTCAATGAGCTCCTACCACCGCACCCGCTCCCTTTATCTCGTCTGCTGTGGTCCCATTTCCTCAGAGCGGGTCCTAGCCCTTTGGACCTGGCCTCAAGTCCTCGCCGCAACAGTTGTCGTGAATGCTGACCATTGTGCCCGTGTAGGAGTTTGTCAGCTTGTAGGTCTGGTTGAGGCCAGCGCTCAGAGACTGTTGTTCAACAAAGGTGACATCATTTCACTCAGCAGCTGGGGGCCGGTCATGTGAGCAGCGTGGGCGAGGAGTGTGGGAGCCAAAGTCTCTACGTCCTGTCTCAAACTCGGCTCCCTAAAGGCGGCGGGGATTCCCGGGTTGCTCGGTCGGAACTCGGGCGTGGAAACAAGACTCATCGGGGCGGGGGGCCTGGATGTCACGCGTGTGGACCACCCTTGCTCCAGGTTGGTGTCCTTCTAAACAACTGCGTTTGGAAAGAGCTTCAAGCTGGATGGAAAATGATGTGGAAGAAATTTAAGGATAATCAGGTGTATCATTTCAAAACAAATACTTAATCCAAATAGTGTGAGTGCGTGCCAATGGCAAAGCGCACACTTTGCATCTGTGAAGGAAAGCGAGCTCCACAATCTCGAAGTTCGAGTTCCAACCTCGGTGCGGCCACCATAGAGCCATGTGGCCATGGGGCTTTCACGTCACCTTCTTGGGCCTCACTTTTCTCATCTAAAACGAGGACTTGGGTTAGACGATTTGGCACCTCCTCCGGCTCTCTATTCTATTTTTCTATTAACATGACTTTTGTAAGTTTCAATATTGTGACTCATTTTTGGGGGAAGAAAATTAAAAAATGGTGGTTCCGTTTGTTGCTGTACCACCTGGCGCTGGTGTACAAAATCGCCACACGCCCTGTCACAGCTGCGCCCCAGGACCAGTGCCTGGGGCTTGGCCTCCTGCTTCGGGCAGGGCAGTGGGTCTACACCCCCACTCCCCGCAGCTTGAAGCCCCTCCGCTCAGGGCCTGTCTTTGCACTGGCTGTTCCCCGTGCCCCAAAGGCTGCTGCTCCCTCAGCCGGGGATGTGGCCGCCTCATGCCCGCCCGGATCTCCACTCAGATGTTGCTCTTTCTAAGGGGCCTTCCTCTCTGGGGACACCCTGCCCATGTCTGTGATAGCAATCATCATGGGCGTGATCCCCGTGTGTGTTTACTGAGTGACCGGTTACTCCGCCGCGGCTGGAACGTGAGCTTCAGGAGAGCCGGGAGGTCTCATCCACCTGTGTCCCGTGTCCCAACACACAGAGTGGGCACTCAACAAACACCCACAGAATGGCTGCCTGACTTAAAGAAGGGCTGATGAGATTCTTATAAAACCAGCGATAGGAATGGAGGCGCGGGGGAAGAACCGTGGGTGCCCCCTCGCTGGAGGACCGGGGAAGGCGCCCCGCCCTCCCGCAGCGCCTGCACCCGCCCTGCAGACCCTGCTGCCCCTCCCCTGGGCTCTCTGCCCGTGTCTGAACGGCCTGGACTGCGCCCCACCCCCACCGGGGATTCGGGTCTTCTCCTTTCTTCTGGGTTCCGTCCTGCTCTAGAACCCACCTTGCATGCTCTCCTTCCACGTGGCATGACCCTTGTTTACTTGTCTGGGTCCCTTCCAGCCCTGATGTCATCAAGGCCAGGAGCAGTGACTTCAGCGCGTCTGCATCCCAGGTGTCCACCAGGGACCCAGCACATGCTGCTGACAAAATGAATTGTATCTGACAGTCGCACCAACCGCCAATGGTCCGTGGGATGCCTTTGGTGGCTCCGGAACTTTCTGCCTGTGCAGGCACACCTACTTCCAATAGCAGCGGCTGCTGGGAGGGGAGGAGGGCCGGCGCTGGGCCCCGGCCGCCGGCTCCATCGGTCAGAGCGTCGGCCTGGTGCGCCAAGGTTGCGAGCTTGATCCCGGGTCAGGGCACACGCAAGGATCAGCCAGTGAATACGTAAATAAGTGGAACAACAAATCGATGTCTCTCTCTCTCCCCCCCTGCCCCCTTCCTGTCTCTAAAAAATAAATAATTTTTTATTTAAGAAAGCTGTCTTTGGAGTCTTTGGAGTGGGCCACTTAAGCATGACTTAGAGAGGATGAGCTCCTCATCATTAAAAAGGGGAAAATAGGAGCTCCTGCCTCATCGGCTTTTTGTGGGGATTCAATGAGAAAATGCCAGGAACATGCTGGCCTCGCGCCCGAAATGCAGTACGTGTGCAGGGATCTCAGCTGTGACGTTGGTGGCTGTCAGCGTTTGCTTCACTCTGTCTGTTCCCACTTCCATCGCTTCATTTAATCTCTCTCCGAGGTTGAATGCTTTCCACGGGGACCTCTGTAAAAAACAAAACAAAACCAAAACAAAAAAAAAAGCACCTCCAGAAAAAAATAACTACAACACGTCTGGGAACTCCCCACGCGGCTCTGAGGAAGACCGCCTTTGTGAAGGGGAAAACGCCTGGGCGGAGTCTTCCTCCCGCAAGCGCCCATCCCCCACCTTCCTTATCGGCAGCCCTCACCTCGATCAAGTGTCCCCAGATGCTGAAGAGAAGGCGTGTGAACCCACCCTTTTGTTGACGATGTTGGGCTTCGTGCACACTGACACCCGACTAACAGCCAGATGTTCGGGGAGCAGCGCCAGCCCCTCTTAACCCAGAGGGCATGGTTTCCACCGCCCGGACAGTCCTTGGTACAGGAAAGGACACGCTGACAATTGGGGGTTAGATATTTGTCAACCGAAACACACCCACTAAGCTGTAGAAGGGTCTTCCTAGTGTTTCAATGATTCAGTGAAATTAAACAGGAAAAGGAAGTGAACTGTGAGTGAGAAGAAATGATTTAACTGGAGTGCGCCCCCAAAGCCAGGCTTTCATTGGGAATGGAAACGAGGGCCTGTGTAGCAACCCTGCCGAGCTCGGTGACACGCCCTCCACCCTGTGGGGACGGAGCCTCCTGCCTCCTGGGCCTCGTCCCCTGTGCGTCTCTGTCCTCGGTCACATCCGCTATAATAACCTGGGAAATAAAAGCGTTTCCTTGAGCCCACGACCCGATGTAGCCCATCATCGAACTCGAAGAGGGCTCCTGGGAACCTCAGTCTGCAGCCAAGTCGGGCGGACGGGTGGGTAACCGGGGCACCTGCTCCTTTAGACTGGCATGCCAGGTGGGGGCGCTTGTGGGACTGAGCCCCTAACCTGGGGGCTCCGTGCTAACTCAAGCAGTTGGCGTCAGAAGTGGGCTGTGGACCCCCACCGAGCTGGAGAGTCGGGGAACTGGTTGATGAGGAAAAAAACCCACAGTTGGTGTCAGAAGTGTTGTGAGCAGAAGAAAGTTTTCCTTCAGCCATTGACCGGAGGGGGCAGGGTATGTGTGCATGTGTGTGCGTGTGCGTGTGTGCGTGTTTGAGGCAGAGACAGAAGGTGGGGCACAGCAGAAGGGGGCGGGGCACGCCCGCCAGACCTGGTATAACTACGACACCCCGTTGATCCCCATCTCCCCCTCTCCTGCTCGAGCCCCCCCGCCGGGGCCTCCCCCAGACGCCGCTGCCCGTGCCGGCGGGGGAACCACCGTGGGGGGGGCCACTATGACAGACCCCTGGCTCCTGGCTGGGGCTTCTGCCATCGGCTGAGCCACTGGAACCCCATTTGTGTCATATTCTTTTAGACGGTGGACCTGCGAGGACGCTGGACCACGGGTCAGCAAACTCACGTTCGAACTGACCACAAAACGCACGTGGTAAAGGGGACGGAAGCGTGGTTGTTGCCGAAGGTCCCGAGGGAGGCTGGTGGCCGGCCTGGCCGTGCCAGGCTCCTCGGGCGTCCTCAGGCTTCGTCTCCTCCCCAAGGAGGGACAGGCTATGCCGATGGCCGGGCCTGAGCCCCCAGCTGCCGGTTGGTCGTGTGACTAGGCGGGGCTGCGGGGAGAGGAGGCGGACAGCACGTTTTATCACCTCTCCCCAGCAGGTTTCAAAGACAGAGGAAGCAAAACTGGAGCGTTCCGCAGTGGGAGGTGGATTAAAAAGTGCCTTTCTCCCGAGGTCAGGTGTGTGTCGCACTCCTGGCACACGAGGGCGCTCTTCCTACAGTTTACGATGTTCTCGGCTCAGATATCAGGGCCCCCCCACCCCCGCCCGCCGGGGCGCGGGAACGGGAGTTCCGGGTTTGCTAGGCGGGCTGGGTTTTCTGCAACGGATGGGACATGTTCTCAGGTACCAAAGGAACAGCCACAAGGGTGTCAGAGCTGCAGGCTGGTCTCGTGCCGCAGGGCTGCTGACTGGGACCACGGGAAGGTCAGGAC